AGCCCAACAACAGGCTGAGTGGTTAGACAAGGGGGAAAAGTCTAAGTGAAATGGACTTAGTTTCTTCTTTTGTGACACAAGCTAGTTTCAAAAAAACTTTTCTTTTTAAACACAGGCTCAAGGAATGAGCTCTTCCAAGCCGGAGAAAGCTGTGTGTGTTTCTTTGGGGGGACATTATTTTTATTTTAAGATAATAGATGTCTTTAACTGTAAACAAAATGAAACTTTTGTCCACCCCCTCCACCAAAAAAAAAAGGTTATTGGAGGAATTTGGCAAATGTCAAGGATCCGAGTCTGCAATAAACAACCCAAGCTCTAACAACAACCAAGAGAACTGGAAACAGGACATACCATTGAAGTCTCAGACATCATGAGAGCAAAAAAAAAAAAAAGTTTATTTTTAGGGACAGGTCAATGACAATGCCTAGTCGCTAGCGGTAGACAGGGTGGGTAAACTGCTGACCCCTCCTCCTCAGGCCCCAGCAGCTCCACAAACAGGAAACGGGTGGGTGGAGGTGGTGGGGCACTTCTGGCCGAAGAATTTGCCTACGTCATGGGTCCTTTCATTCTCCCTGCCCCCTCCCCACAGCTGAGCCTCCCTCTTCCTGCCGCGCAGTTGGGGGTTTTCCTCCCATCCCCCTCTCCCCCTGCTCCAGCACTGGCTGTGACCCTCCCTGGGAACGTGGGGAGGGTGGGGGCTGAGGGCGCAGGCCACCTCTGGACCGCAGCCAGCCCCCGGGCCTCTGCCCCTTTCCGAGGGCTGTCTGAGGGAGCAGGCCCGAGGCCGGGAGGGATTCACGAGGGGTGCCCGGGGCGCGGGCCCCACAGGGCTAGGGCGCTTTGAGTGAGATTTGTACACCGCAAACGTTGAGGGCAAAGATGCAGACATCGTCCCCAGTTTTACTTGCTTTCAGAGAACAAATAAAATGGACATACCCCCACCCCACCCCCCGCCCCCCCAAAAAACAACCAAAATTCTCCTACCTCAAATTTTCCAGGTGACAGCTGAATTTTACTAAGTAACACTTCGGGATAAACATACTCGGTTTCGAAGGTGCCACTTAGAGAGAACATTTCAAATCTTGTAGAAGCAGTTTCTACCACCTCTCCACAAGATGTCAAGATAGTCGTTTTGCATTTCAGCAACGTGCAGACCTATGCAGAACAGATAGGGACAATGTCAGAGACGTTAATGATGTCGTCATGTGTGCAATCGAAAGGTAGCTAGATTAGGGACAAAGTGGGGGGTTTCCTCCAAATGCTGTGCTGGTGGAAATCGGCTGGCAGTGGAATACTAAAGGGGTTGGAAAGAAATCAGGCACACTAATTAGACACCTAGGCTTACACACAACTCTTGGCACCAGCGACATAGCATCACACAGGTGCACTCTCTTGGGATTTCTTGCTCTGGTTTCAGCTCCTGTTCTAGTGCTCCTTCCAGGTGTTGTTCCCTGCTCCCCAGAAACAGCCTTTTCCAGTGGCGAACTTTCCCACGGCCCCGGCCTTGCACATGTTCCTGAGATAGCATGTGCTTACTGTCTGAGACTCTATTACCTGAGACTGTTACGTTTCTGGAGTGGGTTAGGCCTCGGTTCTTTGGTTTGCACGCTGAAACAACGTTTTGGGATCTGAGTGGGCTGTTTTGAAGGACAGGAAAAGTTTCTGGTGTTACCTTCTCAAAAGGATACATGCCAAGTCTGGGAAGTGTGTCAAGCCACATGGAAGCCATGCTGATGTTCACAACTGGGCATGAACATGTGCTCAAGAGCACCCACGCGTGTGGACCTGGGGGGTATCTGGGAGGCCAGAAGCCCAAGAACCCTAGAGGCTAAGAGCATGTGCACCAAGAGGCTGTGGAAAGGGCCCAGCAGGCCCTGAGTAGGCCCGGTGCTGTCCTGAGGGGGCACTCCTGGGCGGAGCAGGTGCACCCCCACCCTCTGACCTGCCACAAGACCAGAGCAAGGTAAAAGAGAGCAGCCTTCCCACAGCCACAATATTCCAAACCTTGGGCTGGGGAGGTGTGGGTGATGGTACTGGTTGCCCTCATTGGCTCAGTTAAGCCCACCTGGATGATGTCATGAGCCTGGGCCTAGTATTTGGGCACCCAGGTGTACCTCTCACCTGGCTCAGGGCTTGAGTATGAGCATGCTCAATTTGGGGGCTTCATAGGTGTTCAAAAGGTTGCCTGATGTCCTTCAAACCTCCTTTATGGGGGCCTTTTCAGGCATGGGAGGGACAGCCACCGGGTTCTTTCCCTCATAAAGTTACTCGGATACAAAAGTGCTTTTGCCGCGTGAATTCTTTGAGCATTGAGAAGCAAGAACCAAGGCAAACCACCCCAGAAACCTAACACAATCAATTTCAGAGCATTTCTTCTCATGATCCTTGTTGTTGGCGCCCGGTTTCCTCCCCACCCCAAACCTGCCCCCTACCCTGTCCCTAGGTATTTAGTGATCCAGTTACTACCTCTAGAGATTTTTATTCGGCAAGGTGATGATTTGCTTTCACCTTTTGATAAGGGAATTTGGACCATGTTTCTCATATTTACCTGCTTTATTGAAAATGACAAATGATTTGAGAAGCAAATTCACAGATACATTTAGAGTGAAGCCATTAATTTGCATATCCAATGATGACACTTTGGGCGACAGTGGTACTGAAGTCAAGTGGATGATTAAAAGGTTCACTCCCTCCTAAAAGGTGACCTGGGTTCCCTCGTTCTCCCTCTCTCCCTTTCTCTCTCTCTCTCTCTCTTTCAGAAGTAACCACAGAAAATCCACCATAAAGCACAAATTCATAATCAGCACTATATAGGACGTTTGTCATTTTACACTGACATTGCTACTTATTTTGAGTTTGAAAAATGAACATTATTGATGTACAGATGTATCAGTAAAGCTCGTTAAGGATGCCTTCTTACTGAGATGCAACCCATGGTCAGGTTAATTTTGGAAAATAAAAAAAGTGCTTAAAGCAAGCAATCAGGTTATGCTGATTCCCATCACCAATGACATTTGATTCATCGCAGAATATCTCTGTGTGCACATAGCGTATGTCTGTGTGTAACATTGTCAACACATGCACTCATATTAAGAAGCGAAACCTACCTCTTGGTACTCTGGGCTGGATATGAAAATTTAACCCTCGAGCCCACTAACAAGTTCTGTCACCTGAGTTGGTCTTACCTGCCAGTACTCTTTCGCCCTTTTCCCGTGGAGTCCCGTGAAAGCTCCTAGAACATAGACTTCACTCTCTTCTTTTCCTAACATTCTGTAGCTTAAATGACAGCAGAGCTCTTTCTGGCAGACAGTAAGGTTTCCTGCACGTTCATACAGCTCGGTGAAGTTGAACTGGTCAGCGTGAACGTTGCCCCCAAAGGCATGCTTCTGTGTTGGGAATGGTTTGATGCTCCTGGCATAGGCGTCCCAGTCGACAGCTGCGGGGTAGTCAGGGGAGCGCCGGGGGTGGGAGTCCACCTGGGAGAGGAGGAGCTGTCCCGATGCCGTTTCCATATCATAGTGATACACGCTGGGGCCCTTCGGGCCATAGATGCCACTCCCTGTGGATGGAGGAAGAGACAGCCAAGCAACCATCAGAGTTGGGAATATTACCACATCAAGGACATTGGTCACAAGGAGATGGCAACAGACCATCTAATGACATTCTGTTGGAAGACACTCAACGATGGATGGTCTCATTTTAAATAACTTTAACAACAACAGGGTTGTTTTACTAACATCACAGAAATGAAGGTCACTATAAAAATCTTCACAGTCAGGGTTTCCTGAAAGGTAGGGGGAAATAATGGAAGCTTCTCTGTTGTTCCCCACTGTGGTGGCCTTCAAAAATGTCCCAGATGTTTCAACATTCCTCTCACCAAAATGTGGGTCTCCTTGAGTGTGATGGAAGTAACAGTGAGTGACCAGATCCTAAAAGGTTTTCTCTCTCTTCTCCCCCCTCCCTCCCTCTAAAATTCCTTGCAGTGGTTCTCAACATGTGGGTCACGACCCCTTTGGGGGTTGAACGACCCTTTCACTTTCACAGGGGTCACCAGATTCATAACAGGAGCAAAATTACAGTTATGAAGTAGCAACAAAAATAAATTTATGTTTTGGGGCATCACCACCATGTGAGGAACAGGAAGTCAGTTGGCATGTCTTCAAGCTAGATCACACAGCTGTAGGGAAAAACCAAATGTTGAGAAACCGACCACCTACAAGCAGTCCCTGAGGATCTGAGGCCCCTGCCAATAACCCTCTGGGTAAGCCCTCCTCACAGCAGATCCTGCAGGCCCAACTTTCAGGTAACACCAGGCCCACCTTCCAAATGCCTACAACTTCATCAGGAGACAACCTGAGCTAGGACCACCCAGCATCTCTCACTCCCTGCCATGGAGTCGACGCCGACGCATAGTGGTCCTGTTTGGCAGGTCAGAATCGAACTGCCTGTGTGGTTGTCTGAGTAGAAAGCCCATGTACCCACTACACCACCAGGATACCTCTGCTCTGCCACACCCCTTCCAAATTCTTGACCAGCAGAAACTGTAAGATAAACAAGGCTTGTTGTTTTAAGCCACTAAGTGTTAGGCCAATGTATTACACAAGAATAGATCAAAAACACACTTCCTCCTCCTTTGCTACTATAATATGAAGGGTGCTTCAAACAATTCATCCAAAAACGGGATGAAAAGATAGAATTTTCCACAAACTTTTTGAAGCCTCCTCCGATTGTGTTTCTGAGACATCTCTGTTCAGCTCTGCTTTGCCATTTGCGGCCTGATAGCCTTTGGCAAATGACCTGTATTTTCTGTGACTCAGTTTGCTAATTTTTTAAAAATTATTTTATTGGGGGCTCATACAATTCTCATCACAATCCATACATACATCCATTGTGTCAAGCACATATGCACATTTGTTGCCTTCATCATTCTCAAAACATTTGCCTCCCACTCTAGCCCCTAATATCAGTTGCTCATTTTCCCCCTCCCTCCCCACTCCCCACTCCCTCATGAACCCTTCATAGTTCATAAATTATTATAGTTTTGTCATAAGTTACCCTGTCTGATGTTTCCCTCCACCCTCTTCTCTGTTGTTCATCCCCCAGGGCGGAGGCAATACTTAGGTTCTTGTAATTGGTTCAGTTTGCTAATTTATAAAAAGGAGATGGTAACACCCATCCCATAGAGTTAGCCATAAATTTAAACAACATAATTCACATGGACTCCTGAGCACAACCATCGTTTTTATAATCAAACTTCAGTTTTGAGATTGGGGATAAGAAGGTGACGAACAGGGACAAAACCCAACCAAAAGGCAAACAGTTAAGACGGGTTATAACATTTAGAAAGAACTTCAAAAAGTTCTTGGGAAAATGGAGGGAAGATATCATGGAATTTTTCCATGAACTTTTTGAAAACCCCTCTTAGAAGCTTCGACTATCACCCTGTTTTGAATTACCTGTCATCCTTTTACTGGTATGATGTAGGTTAGCAGCAAGAAGATTCACTCTCATTTGCATTGCCCAAGCTGAATGAAATTCAATAGCTGTCAGAAAGGGTAAGCTATTCATCCAAGCTGTTGGGAACAATATGGTGTCGACTTGGGACTCTTCCACCAGTCGCACAGCAGGCTCACGGAAGAGTATATCAAAGCAGGTGAAAATACCAAACTTTCCAAAGGTGGTGTCGAATGTCACCACTTCTGGCTTTCTAGTGGCATTAAATTGAAACTCACCGTAGAGGTGGTGCTATAATAAAACAGAGGGGGAAATACAAGTAAAACGTTTTTTTATTAACGAAATGACTCATAACTTTGTAAAGCTAGTTATAGGCTTGGCTTTAGGCAAGATCACACCAGGAGAGTACCATCATTGGAGATGAATGAATCCAAAGACTGGGAGCAGATTTCCAAGAAAACAAGTAGGAACTATTATCCACATGTATCTATAGCAATCTCTCTCTCGCTCTGTTTCTCTCAATTAGGAGCCAAAGACTTGCCCATGCATGCCAAAGAGTATCAGCTTCTTGAAGAGGGAGCCGTGGAAGATTCCTGATACTAGAAACAATAAAGGGGTCATAAGATAAATGACAGTTGCCATGTCCCTCTTTGTAGCATACCAAAGTAAACTTAGATGTCGAATTTCCTATTACAGAAGGGTATATTCTCTAATTCTCTCTGATTCATTCTAGGAAAATCCTGAAGAACTAGTCTAACCTAATATCATAGTCAGGTTCAATAGCTTCATAAAATAGTCACCATAGAAGGAAATACTGAGGAATGGGGCAAAGACCATTAGAATTTCTATATATATTGTCTAAAGCAGCTGTTGTCAACCTGGGGTTTGACTGACCCTTTCACAGGGGTCACCTAAGACCATATTTTCGATGATCTTGGGAACTGAGACACCGCTCCTCTGTCTCCAGGGGGTCTGCCTACATGCAGATACACCCACATACGGAGTCACCACAACATGAGGAACTGTATTAAAGGGTCAGGGTATTAGGAAGGTTGAGAACTACTGGTCTAAAGTATAGAAGATATTCATGACCCAGATACTCTTGCCATCATGTGTCCAAAGTAAAGAGTCACAAATGGTCCCCATGGAACCCTGAGGGGAAATGAGACACATGCCCCAAACTTTGGACAGCCCCAGCTGGCTCACTGACCCCTAACTGTTAGAGTGCACTGTGCCATCCTGCAGTTTACTTGAGGCTGGATACTTCAATTTCCCTGGAGCCCCTGGACAGGACACATGGTTGATGCATCGACCACTGATTGGAGGGTTGGTGGTTCAAATGCACCCCAGGAGCACTTTGAAAGCAAGGCCTGACCTTCTGCTTCTGAGAGAGCACAGCGTTGAAAACCCTCTGGACCAGTCCTGCTCTGCACCCAGGCGGTCGCCAGGAGTTGGCAGTCGACACAGCTACAACTGGATTAACTAACTGTGCTCCCTGGGTCAGCACTTACAGAGCAGCTTACATTCACCCTTGCAAATGAACTGATGGAAGAATTGCCATTTTACTCCTTGTATTAGTGATTTGAAGGAGAACATGAAAATCTATATAAGAGAATACGTTAAAAAAATTGCACCTAGTGTTCCAGTTCCTACATGTATAGGTTTAATCCAGACAAAATCGTTTTAAACATGACTCTGTGATCAGGGAATAGCTGTAGTTAAGTTCTCTTGGTAATACATTTGTTTTCATCTGCTTTTAAGGATGCCTTTTATTTTAAAGTCCAGCCAAAACAATGGCTTCTGAAGGCATCTGTGGGCCAGTTAAATTTAAGACAAGGAAGTCAGCAACATTTTGGGAAGATTCCAAAGCTCTATCATCCTGATACATTTTCTCAGAGGACACAGGATGACGACAGGGGCTTATTGGGGTAAGAGTGGATTGGAAGAAAGTGGAAAAACTACATTGGTGAGAAGAAAAGCCAGAAAATTTGTCCCAAGGGATATTCTTCCATCATGACAACACACCCACTCGTTCTTTGTACTGTGAGGATTTCATTGGAAAGCCTCGCTCCATCCTCCCTACAGCCCTGATCTTGCCCAGTCAGAGTTCTTTTTGTTCCCAAAGCTCAAAAAACATTGAAAAGGAACACGATGCCCAAACTGCCATTTTGACAGGGCATGAATTGGAGTTGGAAATACAGCCTTCAGAAGTAAATAGACCTAGTTGGAGCTTATGTTGAGAAACCATAACTTCACTTTTGAAATTTTTGTTTAATAAAGGTCTCTATAATTTTGTAGCAATGCTCTTTGACTTTTCGTAAAGGAAAAGAAATTGTCAAAAACACATCCAACAGTTCCATGAGAAAAAGAACTGCCAATCTGCCCCTTTCAATATTCCAGTCTGGAAACCGCTAGAGGAGTTAGTTCTGCTTTGTCACATAGGGCCAGTATGAGCTGCCACGAACTTTCCAGCACCTAAAAGCAAGATGTTTCTAGAAATCTTTATGAAAATAATAAAATTATTTTGGGGAGGGAAATCAAGGTGAAATATAATGCATACATAGCCTATTAGAAAGGTGTTGAAATGGTCCTTCATTGAGATCATTATTTTTATAAGTAATCACATAAATCCTTTTATTAGAAAGAAGAGAGGACGCTATGATGACCTCAATCTAGAAACTAATATGGAAATGATATAAAGATGCTTTCAACATTGGATGAATGTGTTTTACTTAGGTTAATTTCCTGGCTATCAAATCACACAAATGTTCTTAGTATTTATTTTTGCACCAGTGATTTCAAAACTCTTTTTGTGGTTTGTTACTTAAAAAAAATCATGTAACATGTACATATTGCAATATTCTAACAAATCTGGAAACGTCTTGAATCAGGGACTAAAGAAACCAAGAGTGAACAATTAGAGAACGACATGGCTGAGATCGAGAGCTTCATGTCTTACCTTATGATAACGAGCCACCAGTTTCCCCTCCGCGTTGTACACCACATTGGTATTGTACTGAAAATAGCCAGTGGAAGGGCAGGTGGAGTCCTGGGAGTTACACTTCTTTTTGTCCCCAATATTTGCCACGACATAGATAGAGTTGTTCTTGGCCATGCAACTGAGTCTTGTTTGTACTGGTGTGTGACCAAATCTAAATCAAGTTTTAATATAGGCATTTCAATTTCAAAGACTATTTTCATCACTTCGGACAAGAAATCTTTGAGCCTTAGTGTAACTAAATTTGATGTCAAAATGACTCATTAAAAAAAAAATCACATGGGAAAGCCACAGGTTAAATCCCATAGGGATAACTCCAGAAAATCATTATTCACTTGCCTACATCAGCAATTGCCTCTGCTCTACTGAAGGAGGGAGGCACACAGACACATGCTCTCCTCGCCCTTTTCTCAATAAAATAATTAAACTAAATAGCATGTAGGGCAGGAAGATTAAACAAAATCAATTAATCCAATTAAGTAACAACTGCAAAACAAGAAAATTATATTTAAAAGCTACACTGAAATCTAACTCAGTAACATAAAAAATAAATTCAATGACATCGATAAAATCCCATCAATTAATATAAACAAGTTAATGTAACTTAACACAAATAAAGTAAATTCAATTAAATACAGTTGATCCTTGAACAACCCAGTTTGAACTACATAGGCCCACTTATTTGCAGATTTTTATTTTTTAACCCTGCATGGAGCTAGTCATCTCGCCGTGAACTGTTCATCTCCCCAGTACATTCCGTCTTATAGTGGCAAGGAATCTCTTGCCACTCTCACGTGTTTGTCATCATGTGTACTGCAAGACCATCGTCCTTGGATACCATCATGGGACTCACGTGAAATACCACTGCTGATGCTGGAGGTGCTCTCCAGAGGCAGAGAAAGTCAGCGTGGTGTTACAAGAAAAACAAGAAAACTTGAATTGCTTCATCATGGACCACAGGTTGAGGCTTGCAACGGTGACTGCCCACCATTTTGACATAAATGAATCCAGCATGAAAACAGTGGTGGAGCCCTGGTGGCGGTGTTGACTAAGCGTTGGGCTGCTAACCTCAAGTTTGGTTGTTCAAACCCAGCAGTCTCCCCAAGGAAGTGAAAAAGGGGTATTTCTTCCCAAGAAAGATTTATAGTCTCAAAATTCCCACAGAGGGTCCCTCTGAATCAGAATGGACGGAACAGCTGTGGGGTTTGTTGTTGTTTTTAGTAAGAACAACTATAAACGAAGAAAAAAGACTTCTGAAGCTCTCACTGCAGTTACAGCAGCGAGTGTGCGAGCCTTGCATTTTTTGTGAGATTCGTTGTATCTCCTATTGAAATTGCAACTATTTTCGTGAGTGCCAGAAATAGTATCTCTACAGAGTGTGTGTCGTTGACCATTTTTGTAACCAGTAAGGTTCCTAGTCAACAGTAGGTTATGAACTGGTGATAGCTAAGGAGTCTGAAAGAACCCTGTCACTGGAGTGGTTGCACACTGGGCTGCTGACCATATGGTCGGCAATGAGAAACCACTAGGTGCTCTGAGAGAGAGATGTGGCTGGTTACTCAGGAAAGAGTTACAGTCTCGGCCATTCACAGGGGCACTTCTGTCCTGCCCCGTAGGGTGGCTCTGAGTCAGCATCCACTCCGTGGCTGTGACCTTGGTTTCTTGGTTTACTGAAGGGGTCAAAAGTTACCCATGGGGTTTCTCCTACTCACAGGCTGCTTAGCTCTCCCTCCTTTGCTGGTTCCTCCTCTTCTCCATTTCAGAACTGAACCCCATTCCACTCACAAACCCCTTTCCTCTGAATAATCTGTTCACTTACTTCCCCAAGCGTAATAAAGATATTAAATCACAGAAGGCTACTACATGGTATTTAATATTAAAGATATTAACTCACAGAAGGTTTCCTTTTGCAGCTAATGAAATGTCAGACTAATCTATCTATCACAATAGGCAACTCTTAAAGTCCCTGCCGTCCGGTCCACGCTGACAACCTACATGCCTGGCAACGCAGCCGCACCCTTCTGCTTTGGTGAACACGCGGTTTAGGCACTCACAACCCTTAACTCAAAGAGCGCTACCATACCTGTGAGGGTCTCGGCATGGAATCCAGTCCACCTCAGGGGCTGGGACATCCTCCAAAAAAGGGAAGACAGTTTCCCATCCAAATTCCCATCCATAGAGAGCATCTTCAGGAGTCACAATGATTTGAGCGCCCTGTTCAAAAACGAATCAAATCACAATGATTCCTCCAGGCACAACCTAGCTAATTCACCACAAACCTGTGATGCAGTGGTCCCATGCTTGGTGGCAGGCTCGCGCTTTGATCTTATCAGTTGTTTCCCAGAAGAAAAGTCCCGGGCAACCTGCTCCCATAAAGATTTCAGCCTAAGAAACTCTAGGAAGCTGTTCTCCATTTCCACAGCATCGCTGGGAGCCAAGCTTGACTAGACAGCACACGGCAACAAGCTTGTACCAGCTCTGAGTCCCCGGCCCGCCCCCCACCCCCTCGCGCCACCCGTAATTTCTAACCAGCAGAAATAAAAGAATACCTGCTCAGCTGCCTGCTTAATAACTTCCTCCAGGATATCTATATTCTTGTTCATCAGGGCCAAGGCATCTTGCTGAGAAACCGGTGTCAGTGTTTTATTTGGCAGTATGACGGCATGTTCGTACACCGCGGCTGTGAAAGTATTCAGGGCACCCACATGCAGGGTAAGTAGGGCAAACACTGCTGCGGAGGTTTGGAAAGAAGCAGCAGTCATGGCCAAGATCTAGTAGTATCTGAAAGTGAAAGTTACACCCTTGAAGTCTTTATAGAGGAGGGTGTATTATATAACTACTTATACTGCCAACTACTGGACTTTGATGTAACTGTTTATAAATAGCACTGCCGGCTAATGAAAACGGATGTAGCTGTTTCTGCATTTATCACTGAAAACTCAAAACCAAACTCACTGAACCCTTTCGAATGGATGTTGACTCATGGTGATCCACAAGGGCAGGGTAGAACGGAATGACCTTGTGAGTTTGGGGCACTATAGCTCTTTTACAGCGTAGAAAGCCACCCCACCCCTAGCCCAGGCCCTTGGTTTTCCCTCCCTAGTAGTGACTGGTGATTTCAAACTGCTGACATTGCAGTTAGCAGCCCAACTGTAACCACTACTGCTTGTCTATAAACAACTGTTTTCTTTCTTTCTTTTTGTACAACTGTTTTCACATGAGTGTAATCACTGCCCCCTACTGACCACCCATAGAATGGTTTATAGATCTGTATGTATCACTGCTAGCTACTAGAATTTCATTTTAGAAATGCATTATGCTGGACAACTTTTGAGGAAATTAATATTACAATTCAATCATGCAGCCAACATATACAATGATAAGATCTTTTGCCAATTTTTAGAAATTTAAATATACTGTAATTGTGCTAGTTTCCATTAGTAAAATAACCCAGCTCATTATATTTGCGTTTTAAAACAGTGATATAAATGTCCAGTAACTACCAGTTATATATACTCACATGGAAGCAACTGTATATAAGTCCAGTAGCTTGTAGAATAGTTAAATGCAATTGGGCCACTTTATTCATAGAAACCATCACTTGACTGTCATTTTGTCACGTTGTGCTGGCTCGCCTGTGATTTGATGCTGGAAGACATGCCGTCAGTCTTTAAGATACCAGCAGGGTCGCCCATGTGGACAGGTTTTAGTGAAGCTTGCAGACTGAGAACAGGTTAGAGAGGAGGAATAGACAGTCCGTCCCTAAGAATGAGCCACTGAAACTTTCTGCAGAACAGTGGACTATTGTCTGGCATAGTGCCAAAAGATGAGTGCCGGCCTGGAAGACACTCAAAATATGACTGAGAAACTGTTGCCTTCTCGATATCGAGCTAACTGCATGGTTCAAAACCAGGAAAGGGGTGTGTCAAGGTTGCATCCTTCCACTACATTTATTCAGTCTGGGTGCTGATCAAGTCATCTGAGAAGCTGGAGTACATGAGGAAGGCTTGCAAGAAGGCCCATTAACAAGCCACTGAATGAGAGCAGTACCCCTTGCTCATTGAAAGTGAAGCGGGCTTGAAGCATTCACTGATGAAGATAAAAAACTAGCATGGGCTACAGATCAATTTAAAGAAAACACCAAATAGACAAATTCATGCTAAACAGGGGAAACATTGAAGTTGTCAAAAGTTTCATTTTATTTGTGTTACCGATAACAAGGCTGTTTATTAACCTGTGACAGGCAGATGGCACATCTTTGTTTGCTGAAAGCCAGGAGGATTCAAAGCACTTGCTGATGAAAACCAAGGATTACAACTCAGTGTACAGAAAATAAAATATCCTCACGACTTGGCCAGTAGACAACAGCATAATAAAAAAAAAAAAGGAAAGAGTGAAGTTGTCAAGGATTTCATTTTACTTGGATTCATAATCAATGTTCATGGGATCAGTACTTAAGAAATAAAACCCTGAAAAAAAAAATACAACCCTCTAGGATACTGGGCAAATCTGTTGCACAAGACCCCTTTAAGTGTTAAAGAGTAAAGATGTCAGTTTGAGGAATAGCGTGCCCCTGAGACAAGTCTTGGCATTTTCAATCACCACATACGATGGGAAATGAATAGAGAGAAAATGGTTTGACAAACTGTGACTGCAACCATGGGCTCCATCATAAGGGTTATGAGGGGCACACGCTTGAACAGTGTTCCATGCTGTGGTTCACGGTGTGTTAACAACAACTTAACAACAGCACTCTGGAGAAAACAACAGGACTGATGGTTCTGTGGGGACATAGGTGGGCGGGGGGGTGAGGGGTGGGGGTGGAGGAAGTGGGTGTTAACAAACCCAGGGACAAGGGAACAACAAGTGATCTAAAATCGATGGTGAGGAGAGTATAGGAGGCCTGATATGGCTTGTCCAAGGGCAATGTAACCGAGAGGAATTACTAAAACCCAAATGAAGGCTGAGCATGATAGTGGGACAGGAGGAAAGTAAAAGGAAATAGAGGAAAAAACTAGGAGGCAAAGGTCATTTATAGAAGTCTAAATACAGGCATGTAAATATATTGATATATGATGATGGGGAAATAGATCTATGTGCATATATTTATAGGTTTAGTATTAAGGTAGCAGATGGACATTGGGTCTCCACTCAAGTACTCCCTCAATGCAGGAACACTTTGTTCTTTAAACTGGCATTCCATG